GTCAACAGGACACTAAGGACCTTCCTCAAAAACTGGAATGGGCTGTGGAAGACAATACTGGAAGTCAACTCAAAACAGCTTGCACAAGTGGCCATCAATTGTGACATATACTAAGGTGATGCACTGTCCCCACTGCTGTTCTTCATAGGCTTAAACACCTTCAGCCAGACAATCACAAGGACTGGATATGGGTACAAGTTCAAGAGTGGAATCACCATCAGCCACCTCCTCTACATGGATGACATCAAGCTGTATGCTAAGAGTAAACAAGACATCGACTCACTGATCCACCTGACATGGATCTACAGTGAGGACATCAGGATGTCATTCAGACTGGAGAAGTGTGGCTAGATGATAGTAAAGAGAGGGAGGGTAGTTAAGACTGATGGTGTGGAACTACCAGGGGGCCACATAGCAGACCTAGGGCTAGCTACAAATATCTTGGTATCCCATAGTCACATGGGAACCACAATGAGGAGGCAAGGAAGTCAGCGGCATCCAAGTACCACCAAAGGATAAGACAAGTCCTGAAGAGCCAGCTCAATGGGAAGAACAAGATCCACGCCATCAACACATATGCCCTGCCAGTCATCAGATACCCTGCTGGTATAGTGAGCTGGCCAAAGGAGGACATGGAAGCTGGTCAGCGGCATCCAAGTACCACCAAAGGATAAGACAAGTCCTGAAGAGCCAGCTCAATGGGAAGAACAAGATCCACGCCATCAACACATATGCCCTGCCAGTCATCAGATACCCTGCTGGTATAGTGAGCTGGCCAAAGGAGGACATGGAAGCTGTCGATGTGAAGACCCAGAAGCTCCTCACAATGTATGGAGGTTTCCACCCCAAGTCCAACACCCAGAGATTGTATGCCAGCCGCAAAGAGGGTGGGCGGAGTCTGAAGAGTGTCAAAGCCACTGTCCTGGATGAAACCCAGAGCATCCAGGAGTACATCACTAAGATGGCCCCCGAAGATGAGTAGCTAAGAGAATGCCTGAGGCAGCAGCAGACATGGGAGGAAGGTCAGGTGGAGAAAGTACCATGGCAAGACAAGCCCCTGCTTGATGTATCATCAACAGATAGCTGAGGTGGCTGATATTGGGAAGTCCTAACAGCGGCTGGAAAGGGCTGGACTAAAAGACAGCACTGAGCATAGCAGCACAAGAACAGGCACTAAGCACCAGATCCATAGAAGCAGGAGTCTACCACACT